CTTATCTTTTGCATAGAATATCATGTTTAAGCAGTGGCTTTCTCAAGCAGATAGCGTTTTGTCTCTTTATAATACAAAGCTATTCTTTTGAAGATATTTTGAGTTGATTATCACAAAAACCTAGTGTTAACTCGGATGCGTAGTCAGACTGGCTATGTTTTCTTTTTCGGACGATTTTCAGAAGATGTGTACTTGTCTTTCGGTAATCTTTATATAATTTGGCTGTATTCAGTCTCAAAATCGCTTTGAATATATATTTTTTTCAATACAGGCGGACATCCGCTCGTTGTCCGTTGCAGTTAAGAAGCGAAGCAGGAAAAAAGATTTTTACCGCGGATCATGTCAAACAGTATCCTCTCTACATCGACTTTCTCGACTTTCCAATTTAATCAGCTTTGCGTTAAAATTTGAGTAAAATTAAACGTACGGCATCTTTCAATTTTTTAAATAATCACAGTCTTTGTTTTGTTTATCGTGTTTTAGTTAGCTTTTTTTTTCGCTAGTATCTTTTCGTTTTGAAGATTCCATGGTGCGAAAATTCGCTAAAATTCGCGTTAACTTCCTTGCGTTTAATGCCTCAATTACCTTAGTTTTGTATGTTTAGACAGAGGCCTTTGTACAGTTCAGTTGTAATAATTGGTTTACAATGACTCACCATCTTTCAACTTTCAAGGAGTCTTTACTTAAGATTAATTGAAAACCTCAGTTCCTTCGTGCAACTTCTCTCTGCGTATTTTAGCCATTTCAGAAATTAAAATGTCTCAAGTTTTGCCGTTCTTCCATTAGCACATTCTGCGTTTTGTTAGCGCTGCAACTTCTGATTACATGTTTTAAGCTTTGTCCGCTAAGAAAGGTAGATTTAGATATATTTCTCATTTTACCTCCCCTTAAGACACACACTCTGAGCTCCATACAGAATCACAGCTTTAATTATTATTTGTGGGTTTGATACATGCTTTTTAGAACTGCAAATATTTCAGGGTTCGAGTTTCACGAATATGTAAAATTTCTCTTTATTGTGATTGTTGATTTTGCATCTTGATTAACAAGTGATTTCTTGTTATCTCCGATGCGTACTTTAAGGGGCTTAAACCCTTTTTTTATCGCATGTAACGTTTCTCTTTGGATTCATTAAGGATAATCCAAAGCAAAACTTATTTTCAAGCACTACTAACAGCAATACTGTACGTTTCAAAACTCTTAGTATCCGTCTTTATTTTATGTGTTTGTGTCCGGAGTTTTCGCTTCGTTTTAAATCCGCTCAGTTCGAGGTCTTTCACTCGTGTAAAACGTTTATTTAACAAAGATTTTTTAAATGAATTGGAACAGTTTCTATTTCCTCGCCTTATTTCTAAAACCATAGGCTAGGCTACATTTAAACAACACACAAATCAAAAACTCAAAAAACTAATTTTTGTTTCGTAGGTGCTCGCTGTCGAGCGTTTGCAGCTGTTTCAATGTTTAGATAATACGAAATGTTGTCCCTTACTATCTTATCCCTGTTTACACAAGCCCGTGGAAAACTTTCACTAGCTTATACCCGCATTGAAAATTTTAAACGTGATTTTTATTGTAAAAAGAATTGTTTTTAGCTTAAAGCGATTTTTACCTGCAAAGAGCCATAGTCCTTGATCTCTCTCAACAACCGTTACACCAGTTCAATTCAATTTCTATCCGTTATGTATTTTTGAGCATTTTTGGTAAAATTATTTATAAGGGTATATATACTTTAGGTAGTGCGGTGATTTCTAAATTTTGAGAAAGTGGGCCGACGTTATGTTAAATTAATCTTTCTTGTGGAAAGATTTCGATGTTTTGCTTTCCTTCTGTATTCTCTTTATGCCCCAAGGCGGTCCCAAGAAACCAAAACAAGTTCTTAATGATGAATTTTTGCTTTCAAATCCAGCCCAAACGCACGAAAATAAAAACTAGATTGGATGAAACTATCCACTGTCTAAGCTATTTTGCTTTGTTGGGAGGGCTTTCCTCCGTCGGTTACTGAGCCCAATCGTTAAAAGGTACTGTTCAGTAGTACATGTAGTTTTCATTATTGAAGTACCTACCCTTATAAAATTTCCATTTGTGTCAAAACATCCTCCAGTTAAAATTTTTTAGGACGAAACATCTTACCGTTTTCAGAGAAATCTGCGAGGATCAGCAGTGAAATGACAGTCTCTTTTACCCTTGCAGGGTTTAATTTGCTAATGCATAGTTTACTTGGTGATGTTTATCGCTTCAGCGGTTGTATTGCCGTTCTAGGATGCTAACTGTTGAAAGAAGACAAAAGAAGAGGTGGTTTCTTTTTCGCGTATAAAAAGGGCAAATTTGGAATAGAAGAAAATAAATGCGTTATCTTTTCTTGACAATAGTATAGCCCCGTCCTTTCAAATTACTGCTTTTCACTGTCTTTTCTTGTTGATTTATTGCACAAATGATTTCAATTAATCTGTCCCCGCAAGGTCGACCTTCTGAATAATTTTACACCGCAGAATTGTAACTTTTGGCTCTGAAAGTGGAGAATTACTTTTATATTCAATTCTTTTTAGACGTCAGAGTAATTGTTCAGGTCAATGTCTATGATTCTGCTTATTTTCTCGTTGGTGAAGCCCAGAGATTTGAGCTTGCGACCAAACAGATCAGATAGTACTGCGAATCGTGAAGGGTCATTTAGTTCTGCTGTCCGCAAAATGTTTTGATTTATGGATCGTTACCGTGGTTTTTGACGTGAAATGATCCAAATTTTGTGGGATTTAAACTACATTTTAATAGTCTGTTATTCGTTAAGCGGACTCCAACCTCGCAAAAGAGCTCGCTGTCTCACAAATCACCTTCATCAAATTCTGAGTGCAGAGCAAGATGTCGGGCTTCGTTGAGTGCGAAAATAATGGAACCTCGCGGACACGGTCATATCTCAAAGAATTTGAAATTGGCCACTATATTTTAGTAAATTAAACATGGAAATCTGCCCTGGCGCTAATTAAGTCTGCGGTGTAGTTGTATTTGAACAATCTGTGGTCCCTATCGCTAACGTTGGTCTCCGCGGACCAAAAAATCTTTCAACGCTAATCAATTATTCATTTTGAAGGTTTAGTCAAGTAGGCGGGACGGCAAAATCTAATTTAAAACTTCTGATGACAGGGGGATAAATTGCTGGTGATCTTATCTAAATTTGCTTTTGTTTTCTAGCCGTAGGGGACGTTTTTTTCTTCTGGGGTGGTATGCGCTTTTTCAATTGACAATTTGATAATGAACTGCTAAAGTTGCTCGCTCGCTGGCTGTCATTCACTCTGAGTGCGCCGTATTTCCGATCAAGTTTCGTAAACATTCAGCGAAGTTTAAAAAAAAAGGGAACGAGAAACACAGTTTTTACTTTTCTTCACGTCCTCGAGTATCCAGCCCAACGAAGCTGTAATTTCTTCGATTAAACATATTTGCGTTTGAGCAACACAAGATGGTCGCAAAGAGTTTTCAATCAGAGTCTGCCTTGTTGGAAACTGTTTGCGCGCTCGTGGAAGTTTGAAGAGAAGAAACTGTGTTTTGTAATTAGTTTACATAACATCGATGCTAATTACTATCTTGGCAGCACGTGTAGAAAGTTCCAATGACCCGAATCTAATTTCTTTCTCTTGCGCACTGACCACACACAACGTTAGTCTGATTTTGCTTTCTCCTTTCCCTCCAGGTTCTTCGTTTGAGTGAGATCGTGTCCCTCGATGTGAGGCGGTTTTTGTGCCTTCTACACAAGAATTTCACGCCAACGTGAGTCACCACGATCAAGTAAACATTACATATATCGGAAAGTTACATTTCCCTGAGATTAATTTCGGGCAGATTAAAAATGTTTCTTTGTCACTTGTGTGACATTCAGGGACGTGATAGCGAACGGACATTGAAAATACGTCACGTTCTATTTTATGAACCGCTCTGCGAAATAAACCGCAGTGGCGATGGGTTGTATAAATTTTCGCTCAAAGCATGTTTAGAAATTGTGGTAGGCTACTAAAGAAAAAAGTATATATTTTTGTTACTCTTCCAGGCAGAACATGTTATTTTTGTTTAAGCCTTTGGTATTTACATATGACATTAACACCTTGCCAGCATCAGAAATTTTTCTATTGCATTCAATAAAAAAATACATATTTGCTTTGAGGAAGTTTTTTTTATAATTTTATGTCGTAGTTGGACCGCAAAGAGAGTTTTTTTTTTCATCGTACAGAACTTTAGGTACTAATTTTATTTTGACCCAACTTATCACTTACGCATTTTGCATAAATATTACTTGCCTTACCGCAAGAGGTAACGCGGTTTGTTTTGACCCAACCGGCGGGCGATTGTATCCTAACCTTGAACGGTGAGAAGCTATTGGCCTCTTTATTAAAAAGAAATCTCGGTTCTTCCTATAAAGTGCACCGCAAATCTAAACAGGACAACCGTTACATGAACTTTAGATATGTTCTGTTGAGTGCACAGTTGATATTTTTTTATTCAGGCAATATCAGTCGCCTTGCCCAATACCAGAACTTGGACGTAATTATTTTTGGCGCGAGAAACTAATTAATCGGTACCCCACTGCCGATCGACCAATCGCGGCGTTGTCAGCGCTAATTAGATCGCTGGTTACCGTGGCAACGGGCGTCTCACAAAGGAGAATGAACTGAAATCAGGTGACCATGGCACGTGCAGAAATCGACATTACAGTGACGGTCAATGGGTCAAGCGCTGTATCACAGCACCTGCTAAAATCCGAGCTAATTTCCATGTTCGGGCAGATGACAGCTCATTTCCTAAGGCCTCGGTGATTAGGGCTTAATTGGACCAGCTGACGAGTGCATCACACTAGCTGATTTGTCGACGGGCTGGTCAGATCTCGGAATCAAAACGCCGGATCCCGCCCCCTTTGACGAGTGCGCTAACAGCTTGTCACATTGGCTGTCGGCCTGTCAAACGATTTGACGTGAGTAACGCAACTAAAGGTTCATTTATCAAGCGTGTCATTGGCTCTTCGCTGATTGGTTTATTCCCATGAAGCCGCTTTCTGCCAATCAATAACACATGGGATCGAGGAGACGAGAGTCAAAAATAACGTGTGGTCTTCATAAGCGTGTAACGAGTTTTTGAGAGCGTACCAAGACAGAACGACAAACGAACTCTCGACAAACCGTCAGAATTTTGTCTTGGAAATTTCGCGTCCGCCAGCTACAAGGTAATTTTATTTGAATTTATATCTTTTGATTGTGCAATGTCGGCGACAACAATTTTGACACCGTCGCCGAATACAGTCTCGAATACTCCGAACGGAGAAAGCAATGGCAAGTGCAGTCCAGAACGCGTCAAGAGACCTATGAATGCATTTATGGTGTGGAGCAGAGAGCGGAGACGTCGCATGGCGCAAGAAAACCCCAAGATGCATAATTCTGAGATATCAAAGCGGCTAGGAGCCGAATGGAAACAGCTATCGGACGCAGAGAAGCGGCCGTATGTGGACGAAGCGAAGAGACTGCGAGCCGTTCACATGAAAGACCACCCCGACTACAAGTACAGACCGCGTCGAAAGAGCAAAACTTTACTGAAGAAAGACAACAAGTATACACTGTCGATGCTCGGAGCGCAAGGTGGACCGCCTGTTCAGCGATCAGTTGCGCAAAGCCCGGCCGAACATTTTTCCCAACTGAATGGCTTTACTTACGGGCCTATTACGGCCTACAGCCAAATGAATGTCAATGATCCTTATAGTAATATGTACGCTGGCCATCCGCTTTCACCGCATACCCCTACTCAACTTCAACCTTCTAATGCTCTGCACCATTCTGGATACCCTTCAATGGGAGGTGGACAGATTTATAATCCCGTGTCAACTCAAGGCCAAGTATATACCTTGAATGGGACTCAGTCGATGAACTCGATTACTCCTTTGTCATATTCACAACCTAGCAATCCTGTTCTCCTACCTAACGTTAAACAAGAAATGCCGAGTCCTGGTTCGCAAGCTGGTCGCGGTCGTAGTTGCACGGATCAATTGGGAGATATGATAAATACATATCTACCTGGGGATAGCGGAGCTCCAAACACGAATCACCATCAAGTCGGCGGTGCAAGCCACGTCCAACCAAATCGTTACAGCCAGTGGCAAGATCAGATCACCGTGGCAAACAGTATGCCTGTCCATAACAGTATTTCTAACGTTTCTGGTGTGAGCGGGACAATCCCATTAACTCACTTACCATGATGGAATTAGCATAGCGTCTAGCTCATTTCTACTGCAAACGCGGTAAATTCATTCTGTATTTTGTCACCCGACCCATATCTCGATCGCTTGCTGAGAGATAGAAGTTATGAAAGAGAAAACGTCTTGCTTGATACGACTTTCAACTCGAGAGTCAAGACGCCTTGTCGTTGACGACGCCGGAAAGTAAGGAAAATTACGCGCTGAGTTTTCTCGCGGAGAGCTTAATTTACAAGTTAAGTACGACAAAATTTATAAATCGGGCCGGTGAGTTATGTGAGAAACTCGCGGACTGTCTTCCTTTATATGATGTGAATAATTCTGCTGAGAACTGAAGCGAAGTTAATTGAGATGACGCGTGTATTGTCAATATACGAAAGACTGTATCTAGGAAAAAGAAAATTCTTGCTTAGCAAAGCTTTTTTGTCAGTGCGCTCGATGTGAACGTCAAATGTTCACGAATGCATTCACCGCGCGCTCGATCATACTTTTGAACTTTTGATGTTTGCTGCGTTGCATGTTTGAATTACGTTGTAGGATTAAAAGCACGTTTGTATGAATTTCAAAACCCTCTGTGTACCGAGCTAATATTAGATTGTATTGCGGAGTTCCGTAATGATAGCTTTATGATGAGAAGCAACAACTTGTATATAACTTCAGATCAAAGAACAGAGATAATGAGATTTCCTTTATTTTCCTTTTGAAGAAATAAAAAAAGCACATTAAAAATAATTCCTTGGTTGACTAGCTATAAAAATATTTTTTCTTCCCCTCTTACGAAAGAGAACGTTAACATGCGGTCACATTGCTTTCTAAAGTTAGTTCTCGGTTTGTCTCTGGGTCGTACGCACGAAATTTAAACACGGTCCCAAAATTACCCAAATATTGTTTTATTTGCAGTAAAGCCCGCGAACTCTAAACAGAGGAGCGCGATTTGTCGCTGAAAGGGGCATTTGAATACAAGTGTATGCAAAGATGAGGGTATAAAAGCTGTGTTTTTAAATACGAATGAGTTCTAGTCAGGCGTTAAGAACTTAGAAAATCGGCGTGTGGGTTGACTCGCCGTGCGTCAAATGAGGTGATGACAGGTCTTTCCTGAAGCTGATTGGCTTATGACTGGGTGATGATGGCAGCTGTGTTATCTACTCTTTCAATAATAATCATTAGGGCTTATTAACAGAACATTCCTGGAATGTGCGTGAACTTCATTACTGACATAAAGATTGCGAGAGTACTTCCATTGATACATGACCGAACAATTTTATAAGGAACCATGGATGAAAGCTTTAGTGTGGGCCGACTTAATAGCTTTGATTTCACTGAATTCTTCTCTTAGCCAATTTTTCAACGCCTCTCCGTTCCCATGGCTACTAAAAGCTATCAAGACAGCTGAGAATTACAGCTGTAAACTGGCTTAAACCCTCGAGAGATCGCTTAAAGTTTATTTTTCCAGAGTGCAGACTTCTAATCTTTAATCTGGGCACGCGTCAACCTCGGCATTTGCGAAACGAGACTGTAGTTTGTTGGTAGAGAATTCTTTTTAATCATTTCCTCGGTGTTTTGATATGTGTTGACAAGTTCTGCTAGTGCAATTAGCACATGTTTATCAGTGTCGGCAGATCATACAGAAATCTGGTTACTAAAATTAAACGTTCGCACTCCGTCATTTCCTACGCGCTGGAAAAGTTAGTTTTGCTTTGTCCGGTTTTTCATGGAGCGAGTTTACCGCTGTTTGTAGTAAAATATCTTTAAAATTTGCTTGAACAAATAGCATCTGGCGTTGCGCCAATATTGAACGCAAAACTCTACCTTAGCCTTATTACTGTTTACCGTACGACCGTCAGGTTTTCATTTAAATGTTGAGACTCGTTTGCAAAACCCGCTTCCACAATTACTGGTCTGTTCAAATAATATTTCACGATTTAATTTTAACATGTATCTCTTAATTTAGTGTTGGACTCCTTTCGAAAATAATTGATCAAAGAGAACTAACTAAACCCAAACTAACTTCCCCTAAGACTTATCGAGTCGAAATTAAGAGGGGTGATATTGAACGACAACCTTGATATGCAAAGTAGACAGGTTCGTGTATATTAGAGTTCTTCGAGGAACCAAAGAACGGAAAACTTCTCTTTGCGAATTTCCTGGCACAAACCCAGCCAAACTAAAATATAAAACTCGTATTGAAACTCTTTAAAGCCTGAGATATTTGGGGTGTCAACCGAAGCGAGGAAAATTTATTCCGAACTGGCAATTTAATGACCGGTTGAAAAAAATAGCAAATTACGGGCGTTATTAAGACGGACAAAGATCCGGTTGAAGTTGTGTAAGAATTCACAGAAACCGTCTAAAGTTTCCGAACGCATTTTTATACACGAACGAAAATGGCTTAGTAATCTCTGTTTACCGAAACAGAAAGTGGCTGTCATTATTTTTTGTTTTTGGTGTTGAGTTTCGGTGTTCAGCCCGTATGGAAATCACGACTATTTTTGGTGGGAGACAAAGCTAACATGCAAATTTCTGCGCTTTTCGAAACGTGTCGACTGGATTAAAAACCTGTGCTTGTTTTCGAGACTTTTTCTCCCAGTGAAGCACTTAGCAATTTTTACAGGCCAAAATAAAAAAAATGTGACCATATATTCATTTCTTTAATGCAGCCGTTATTAAGTGAAGACAAATTGGTTGAATAGCGAGAGAGCTGTGAACAAAGACGTCTTTACCTTTGATAAAATGCTTATGAGCTCTATTATCAATAATGCAAGCTTGATGAAATTACGGCAACGAAAAGATTCATTTCCTAGTTATACAGTTTTAAGGGCAAACGTTATGCAAGATTCAATTAGGCAAAATCGCTTAAAGCGCCCTTTTATCGCACGGAGTTAAGTCTGTAAGCAAATATATATGCCTTGTTACTTACTTCGAGGGCTAACATTGAATTATCGGTCTTTTCTTTGGCGGAGACATTTACTCGAGACCTTTTGTTTAGTGTCGCATGAAAACCCCATTACATTTCTATAGGAAGTAAATGTGAATAGATAACAGTTTTATCAAAGAAGAAACTTTCTGTTTACATTTCGTTATTGCGTACGTAAATAAGCCGGGGTTGGTAACGTTTTGGAAAGCACTGTTTTGCACTCTTTAATTTAACCTGTGGTTTTCAAGACGGAATTAAGATTGGTTTCCAGCTCATATAAGATAAGTTAAATAACTTTATTCTTCATCATGCCAATTTTATTTCCTTAAGATTACATAAAGGAGATTCACTTGTAAAGTCAGTTAATAAAGACATTCTTTAAGCGAATGTCTCAGTGAATACTGTTCAGTCGCAAATTGTTTTCGTTGCAGTATCGAAAGTGAACTGGCAACGCGAAGACAAATTACTGTTCGTTTGTTTATACAAGCCGGTAGTGATGGCGCCTTTTTGACCTCATGTTTCGAATTTTGCAAAAACATAGCTTCTATAACGTTGTAAATTCTCGCAAACATCTTTTTTAGTGAATAGATTTCTCTTGTTTGCTCTCTCCGAACGGAACTGCTGTGAGGAGTTGACAAGCTGTTAATGACAACATGTGGCGTTGAGTCATATTGAGAGATGAAGGCGTGAGTGCCAAAAACTAATTAATTTCCCTGCGTGATACATGGTTTCTTTAACTTGGCTGTACTCTGCAAAACTATAAACATTTGTGAGATTAAAGACTAAATGCAAGCGCGTTTGGTTAAACTGAGGCAAAGAGCTTAAGTCGAGAACTAAACTATTCAATCTAAGTCACTGTAGTGACAAAGCTTTTGTTGATGCATACTTGTTGACTCGTAATAGCGGAGTTAAGCTTGATTTTGACTGAGATTTTTCTCTTTTAAATTTTTGTGTTCAAACGAAAACACGCTACAGGGCTGCAGACATCTGTTCCTGTTCTCAGTTTTTCAAATAGCGCCCCGAAGATCTGTCGAGACCTCACACGCTTGTGTTATTTAGTTTCTCAAACAAAGCATCCGAACAGATGAAAAATTGTTTTAAAATTACTCTGGTGACCTGTATGTGATCAGTTTGATCTTGGGCTTAAGCCCTACAGTGATATGGAAATAATTCAGCACTGTCCGACTAAATGAGTAAAAACAAAAAATAATTGCCTTAAGTTATTTCCCGGTAAATGTTTGATAATACACGCTTTCTCTGAAGGGAATGCAACTTTAGTGAAATCGCTTGCACCACCATGAATATTTGTGGACACATGATTGAATTGCTTGTAAAAAATACACTATTTAACATTGATAGTGAGCGTAAATTAACCGCTGTATTCATTGCGATCCGATTACTGCAGTAAAAAAGTATTCTTTTTTATTGGATAGATTAGGTTTTTACGACAGCTTAAAACATGAGAAACTATTGATCGTATGTTGCTTTAAGTTCTTAAAGACGGGTGACGATTCCTATGACACGTTTGCGCCAAGTTAATTTCAATCATGGTCGTTATATAGAAAATTAAAAAGTGGAGGGTTTTCGTCCAATCTGGTTTCTATGGTCCGGAGGTTATTTGAAAATGAGGTGGCTGGGTACATCTACAATATGGTATTGCGCGGCGTGAGTTTAGCTTTAACCGCAGTAGGAAAACTTCTGTCCCCGGGGCAGATTTGTATTTAGGACATTTGGTCGCTAGCCAGCCTTTTTCAAAGTACTCGCTTTTGGTAGTTGAAACTCTTAAAACGTGTTTATTGCATTGACTCATGTTAAAACTCGATAATATAGAAGTTTGTACTGTTCAGAACCAAAGGAAATTTGATAGATGTGACTACAGGTTAAGTGCTAAAAACGCGGGTCATAGTCTCAAAGCTCGCTGTTTGTTGCAATGGATCGAAGGCGGAGCTAACAATGTCGATCTCGCTTGGTCAAAGTAATTAACACTCGGTGGATTTTAAGGCGTAAATGAACTGAATAATTCATAAATCAAGGTGTGTTTTATTTTGATAGCAGCTAGACTGCCTATTTAGTGTCTAATTGCCCAGAGGAAAGATATATCACTGAGTTCTACCGAACTTAATAACAAACGCTATGTTAACAGCTCTTGCATTTCGTATATACAAATATGACTTTTGTGAGCGAGCGATTAAGCGGAACGTCCAGATCAAGTATTTTCAGTGTAAGAGCATAATGGTAATAATAAAACACGTTGAGCAGCGTTTGGAAGAATTGTTTTTATTCGCGAAAATTACTAAAGCTTTATTTTGTTTTTATGTGTCGAGGTTATTTTAAATCATGGTCCTTTGAAACCTTGCTGAGAGTATAAACTGGTTGCCGGTCAATGTTTTTTCTTGTAGCTGTTCTTTTTAACCAAAAACTATTCTTTGTGATTTAACGAGAAATTTTATTTTTTCCCTATGCTAGTTCTACCTCAAGTGAATAATAATTTAATGAGTAGAAGTTTTCCGGAGTGGTTCGTCTCTACGTTTCTGATTTCATGCAGTGTTTAGGTGAGATGCAAAAGCTGTTCTGAGCAAATCCGTAGGATAGAAAGTAGAATAATGAAAAGTAAGAATTCATGAAGAACCGTGTTTGCACCCGGTAGCGAAGAGTAGCTCTTCTTCAGTTTTAATTAATTCGTCCGAAGTTGTAATATTGTAATATTGCATCTTGAGAAAATATTGTCCAATGATAACCTACAAAATTAAGCAACAAAAAAGCTTGGATTTAAGTATGAGAGTACAAGAGAAGCAA